AAAGGAATATCTATCAGCAGGATCATGGTTTATTAATATTTACAATCTTAGATTAAGGACAGAACATCCCCAACAGTACAATCTAAAGGACTAAAAAACATTAACTGCTATTATTGCTGCAAGTGTTGAGAACTAGGATTGAGGATCAGGCACAGCAATTTCTTTCATTAGTGACACTTTTCTTGGAGAAAGAAGTCACATTGTTATTTTAACTCAACTAGAATTTTTTTTGCTGCTTTTATTTTCTTGAATAATATGAGATTTTAAACTTAGAAGATTAAAAATACATACAAGCTCTCTTGCTTCAGAAACTTTGAAGTGAAAACCAGTTTAAGATCGCAAAATATAGTTTTTATTCCTCAGAAACAACAAATTGTTGCTATTCCTGAAATGAAAGTCATATCTTCTGCAAGCCATTTCAAAAGCAAAAGAAATATCTCTTTCATGCTTTCTTTAGACAGCAAATCATAAAGCCAGCAGAAAATAGAAGCAATTGGAATAGATAAGCAATTTAGAGACACTTGTTTAATCTCAGTAATTACCTATTCACAGAGGCAGGATTGGTTAGAAAGGGCTATAGATATTTTTCTATTTAAAACTTTACAGAATTTCCTGAGATGTGTTAAATACTGGATAAATGTCATCTCTCTTCTGTCAAAATCATACCAAGATAAAGAACAGAATATGGTCAGATAATATTTTCTGCTGCAGTCACAGCAGATGAACAACTCAGAGCTAAATTTTGTCTGTTCACATGTATACAAATCTTGCTTATTTCACCGAACTTCCTTCTGCCAGGCAAAGCAATGTCAGAAAGCAGCTCTGTCAGTGATTTTCTGAACAGCATTTCTTAAACTGGTTTTAGAGTTCAGGAAAATCAAGAAGCTGCATTTTAACACTATGTCCTCTTTATATCTTTTTTGTGGTTTGGGTCCTTCATTCTTGCATTGGTCATTTCAGTCAGCTTGGTAAAATCAGATTAATTTGTTCCCAGACAGCAGGACTAAGCTTCAGAGGACTATGATATACACAGCACAATATGGCACTTGGCTGGGCAAGTTCTAGATGACTCTGGGCAAAATTAATAAATTCCAGTGCTTAAAGAAAAAGAATGTGAATGATATACAGCATCAGGCCACTTCACAGACAGCAGTAACCCAGCTGTGGAACTGCTGCCCCTCCTGGCTGCCAACTTTTTGATCAGTTTTGGCCCTAATGAATTTTGTCTTCAGGGTGGCCCCTAATGTGAATTCTTAATGAAGGACATACGGCTCACAGAGTCAGGTTGTAAGCGTGCAGCATCAGCTGGAACACCTGAGAGCAAAGCTGAAACCAGTCCCAGATTTGGCAGTCACAGATGTCATGTCAGGGCGTGACCTCCTCCCAGGCTGCTGCATCCAACACAGATGAGATAAAGCAACACCTATAGCACAGTTTTCTATTTATGAACTTGGAATATTCATGTAACTAAATACATGCAAAAAGAGAGGAGAGGAGAGGAGAGGAGAGGAGAGGAGAGGAGAGGAGAGGAGAGGAGAGGAGAGGAGAGGAGAGGAGAGGAGAGGAGAGGAGAGGAGAGGAGAGAGGAGAGGAGAGGAGAGGAGAGGAGAGGAGAGGAGAGGAGAGGAGAGAGGAGAGGAGAGGAGAGGAGAGGAGAGGAGAGGAGAGGAGAGGAGAGGAGAGGAGAGGAGAGGAGAGGAGAGGAGAGGAGAGGAGAGGAGAGGAGAGGAGAGGAGAGGAGAGGAGAGGAGAGGAGAGGAGAGGAGAGGAGAGGAGAGGAGAGGAGAGGAGAGGAGAGGAGAGGAGAGGAGAGGAGAGGAGAGGAGAGGAGAGGAGAGGAGAGGAGAGGAGAGGAGAGGAGAGGAGAGGAGAGGAGAGGAGAGGAGAGGAGAGGAGAGGAGAGGAGAGGAGAGGAGAGGAGAGGAGAGGAGAGGAGAGGAGAGGAGAGGAGAGGAGAGGAGAGGAGAGGAGAGGAGGAGAGGAGAGGAGAGGAGAGGAGAGGAGAGGAGAGGAGAGGAGAGGAGAGGAGAGGAGAGGAGAGGAGAGGAGAGGAGAGGAGAGGAGAGGAGAGGAGAGGAGAGGAGAGGAGAGGAGAGGAGAGGAGAGGAGAGGAGAGGAGAGGAGAGGAGAGGAGAGGAGAGGAGAGGAGAGGAGAGGAGAGGAGAGGAGAGGAGAGGAGAGGAGAGGAGAGGAGAGGAGAGGAGAGGAGAGGAGAGGAGAGGAGAGGAGAGGAGAGGAGAGGAGAGGAGAGGAGAGGAGAGGAGAGGAGAGGAGAGGAGAGGAGAGGAGAGGAGAGGAGAGGAGAGGAGAGGAGAGGAGAGGAGAGGAGAGGAGAGGAGAGGAGAGGAGAGGAGAGGAGAGGAGAGGAGAGGAGAGGAGAGGAGAGGAGAGGAGAGGATGCCTGAAGAAAACCATGAGAAATTCATGAAAGGGCTGAGAAGACCAAGGGGCTGTGAGGAATGCAGAAGAATTCCCCTACTATTTGGGGTTTTTGGGGTGGTTTTTTTTTGGTGGGCTTTGGCAAGGAATGCTGAGTGATGCCAGTGTGACTCTGGTAGGCTTTGAGATATAGCAGGCCACAGGGGCTCTGCCTCTACCTACTCTCCTCTTCCTTAGTTGCCCTGAACTATAGGATCTCCCCACCTCTCCCATAACACAAAAACCCTATCTTGTCCTCGGTAACTACTTCCATTTTTGCAATTTTTTCAAGGAAAGAACCAACAACACCCACTCCTCTCCAGTCCTGGTGGTGCAGAGGGATTAAAAAACAGGATGATCTAGGAGACAGGACTAAAGAGGAAGCCTCTGGAGGCACAGGAAATCAGTGGATAGGTATTGACAGTAATTGCTTTTCTGCAAGGGGCCACTTGGTAGAGCCGCCACAATTGCCCTTCTAGACAAAATTCCAGAAAGAAAAACCAAAGTTTTCTGCATTGCAAACTCTATGTCCCAAAACTTAATCTGCATGTGCCTCAATTCAAATGAGGTAAAAGTGTCTTATCTACTCATCTCAAAAAGGGGCTGTAAAAAGCAAATTAGCATGTACATTTAGTGAAGAAATAAGTATTGATGAGCACAAAGGCAAAAGTCCGCCAGGAAATTAAGTTACAAAAGCAAAATCTGAATATGTAACAAATACTCCACTGGGGCATACACTGAACAGCAATGAGCAAACAAATTAGAGAAGAGTTTCTCATCTGATAAACACTAAATGCTATGTACCTAAAATGTGGCAGAAGTCCTAGTGGAAGAAAACATATATCTGTATGATCAGGTATGTGCAGTGCAAAACTCTGTGCTTGAATCTGAGGGAAGAAATTAGGTAGGCACACGCCACCTCCTGGCATTTTTTAAATAGAGCTTGTGACTTATTTATATATTGCCCACATTGGAACTTTGCAGGAAAATGCAAATCTGACACATATGTGCCAAATAATAATGACTGCAAAAAAACAGAAACAAAAAATACATCTACACTGTTATTTTCAAAACAAAATCTCCTGCAGCTTTTGCTCCATGTAGCATTATTTCAAAATTTATCTAAAAAGACAGAGTGGGTTAAACATTATAATACAGCTGAAAAATCTTTTGGATTTATCTGCAATTGGAACAGGGGGAGTTTATTTTTAAAAATATATTAAGCGAGTTGACCCAAGACATTCATTAGCTACCCTTAACCCCAGTATTTCAAGTTAGCCAGCATTTCCTACATTCCCACACTCTGCTCTCCCAGTGCCACTCCGTGTGTCTTGGTATCACCGACCCCCCCTGCACAGGCCCAGCCTCCTCCTCGTGTCCACACTTCCAGCTTTTGCCTCAGCCCAGGTCTTCTCTCCAAACAGACCCTATTTCCTGACACAGGGTAAAGAAACCTGAGATATGTTTTGGGATAGAAAGGAGTAAATATCCTACTTAGTCTTGATACTCTTAAAATAGCAAACATTCTACTTCCTTAACATAATTTTATGTCCATTTTCCTAAGACTTACTCCTGCCACTTTTTTTTTTTTATTTTATGTATTTCCTAGGAAGTATTTTTAACATCCTAAACCAATGGGCAAATTGGCATTAAGTCAATACAACTCAATTAATTTCATATTAATCCTGCCAGTTCACACAGGCTGAGAATCTGGCCCACTGTGATAGGAAATTAGGTATTTTTTTAGTCAGTGGAGCCTGTCACCCACAGGCCATTTAGAAATGTCTTTGGTTATTTTTATGGATGTGGCATATCTTTATCCAAAAAGTATCAACAGGAAAAACTTCTTTTTTTCTGTGAACAGTGGAACCAGTAAATCTTGATTTTGCACACCTGTATCTATACCTGCACTGTGATAATTCAAATTCTTCTCTTATTTTCATCAGGATCTCATTCCATGATATTTTAGTACCCACCCCCCCGCCCCATTCCCTCACTGCCATCTGGGAAGAAAGAAGCACAGTCAGTCCTGGCTTGGTGCTGTATCTGTGCTGTCTGCTGTTGGTTCTGTCTGTAGCTCTTAGGCACAGAATGGCCAGGCCAAAAACTACAAAAAATGACTGAGTTCATGTGAGGCTTTTTTTTTTTTTTTCTCAGTGAGGTAATTAATTCAGTTCACTTTTGCCTACCATTTTACAGATCTTCACAAAATCTCCAGAAGCATTTTACCTGTGAGACTTCTACTATTGTCTAATGTAGCTAAAATTGACCTGCTGGTTCCAAACTTTTTTGAGACTGGTCAGTGTGGTTCCAAAAGCCTTAGAAACCAAGAAAAAGAAAAAAAAATGCTATGGGACATAATGTGCATTATTTGTTGTCAGTACTTTAAATGACACAGAATAAATAGTTTTTACAGCAAAAGCAAAGATTCTTGGAGCACATTCATTATTTTCTAGTGGGTTTTAATTGGTTCCCAAAAAAAATATAATCTAGGCAACACTGAAAATGGAAGAGAATAATTAGATTCTATTTTTGAATGTTATGGTAATCAAAAATGTTGACACTATTTTCCTATTTTACAGCAAAGGAAAGAGAATACTTCAAGTGAGGATCCACAGAATATGCCAAGGTACATCAGCAGCTCAGTAGAACGGAGCGGGAACTTGATTAATACATAAAGTCACTCATTTTGGAGCATAAAATACTGAAGATGTGACCACCTGTGCATATGGCTAGCTCTCCTTACAGATAGCATTTCAGGAAATCAGAGTTTCACATGGAATGTTTGAGGTATGCCATTGCCATCCACTCCTTTGGTGAAAGCTCTGTACTTCATCCTCCTCCTGCCTTCAGTTGGACAAGTTAAATTTTAATCACACACACCTCACTTGAATATAGTACTATAACCCCATTAATGTTATAGAAACACTGACTATTCTACAAATAAAATCTATCAAGATTGCTTGATTCTGCCAGAAAAATCATAATTATAAACATTCCTGATGACAGAAAGGATGGAAAATATGTAATCCAATGAAATAAGAATGTTTCCTCTGAATAATTTTGTTGTAAAGCACCTTTAACACAACTAATGACTTAAAAATAAAACCTCTGAATAATAAATTATTATTTGTTACCAAATACATATGTGTAGCTATAGATATGAAATATATGTAGATATATGTCATATATGTCATATGAGATATGTAGATATATAATACATATGAGAACCTTTCTTACTCCCTTGAGGATTCTGTAATACTGGCATGATGTGGAATTAACTCTCCAAGTATATATGGCCATGGTTTTGAAAGGTATGTGGGGATTTGGGCTGCAATTTTAAGATTTTTGCTTTAAGACATCTGTGAGACTTTTCTGTCAGTGGCTGCTCAGATTTCCTGGGAATTAAAAAAAAAAAATGTAGTCATTCTAATCTATTTTTTCTGTCCCTCTGACAGATGTCATCCCAGTGAGCAGAGCTGTCACTGAGAACTCTCACTTGAGATGAAACTGAGGGAAAAAACTGATATCAACCAGGAACTGCTGGATGGTCTGGGGTGTGGAATTGGCATGAGCTCTCTGCTTTGCTTTTTATGGCTGGTTAATATCGTCACTTTACATCCACCATAGCTCCTGACAAAATTAACAGTGACAGAGTGAAAGTGCTAACACAAGCCCTGGGGATGTTATCTCTGCAGTTTAACAAAGCTGTAATGGGTTGACCTTGGCTGGATGCCAGGTGCTCACCAAGCTGCTCTATCACTCTCCAATAGGGCAGGGGAGAGAAAAACAAGATGGAAAACAACTACTAGGTTGAGATAAGGCAGTTTAGGGTCTGTGAGTGCATAAGCAAAGGGAAACAAAAATTGACCTCTACTTCCCATTGGTGATCAATGCTCAGCCACTTCCCAGGAAGCAGGGCTTCAACACGTGGAGTAGTTGTCTGGAAGGCAGACATTGTTAAATAGCAAATGCCCCCCATTCCTCCTCCCTGCCTTAGCTTTTATATCTGAGGTGATTTCATATGGTATGGAATATCCCTTGATAATTTGCATCAGCTGGCCTGCTTGTATTCCCTCCGAGGATCTTGCCCACTCCCAGCCCCTTGACAGGGGAGCTGGAAAGGAATGTTAGAGAGACAGCACAGCTGCTGGGCCAACACTGCTCAGCAGTAGCCCAAACACTCATGTGCTACCAACACCCCTCCAGCTACCAATGCAAAGCACAGCACTGAGAGGGCTGCTAAGGAAAAATGAACTCTACCTCAGGCAGACCAAATACAGTCTCCATCCCTTATTTCATATCATTTGAGTCATGCTGAAATCCCACATAATTTATATGTCTTCCAAGTGTTCCATTCTATTTATTTGTCATTACTGGAATCCATTCTTACCCACACACACAACATAAAATACATCCCTAAACCATCTCCATACCTGACACGGATTTTCATTACCCTTTATCCTGCATCCTTTCACACATAAATATTATTGTGCCATTTCATGGGCTTCCTTCACCCCTCCAGATCCGTGATTTGGAGTACAGTGGGCTTCTGATCCTTGATAACTCCAGCTTCTTGGAGTGACCTCGGGTTTCCACTGAGGGGCTCTGTGTCTTAGCTTACAATGTAAAATGTAACCAACAGTATGTATTCTATCACCATCTGTTAAAACCAGTGTTCTTTATCTCTTCCATGACCCATCCCTCATAACTCCCTCTGAGGGAGATACCTGCTGTTAATGGGCCACCAAATCTCACTGTATGACTTGTAAATTTCTTCATCCCATTGTGAGATGCTCCGCCCGGGGGAGGAGCCAAGCATTCCTACCTGGATATATCCTGAGGTTTGGAACACCAAAAGCAGCCTTATCCACAGGATTCCCAGAAGAAGACCAGGCCTATCTGCACCACCACTGGACCTTCAGAGGCAGACCACACCCTTCTACAGGATCTCTGCTTCAACAGAACCACATCTGTCATCCCAAGACGATTGTAGACACCGTTAAACTGGACTGCTACCAACCCTGACCAACAGGGTTCTCAGGTTGTATTTTGACTGTGTCACTGTTTTGTACTATTGCATTTACTTTAATTTTCCTATTAAATTGTAGTTCTGACTTGGGACCTCCCAACTGGTGTGCTTTCTGTTAGAATCCTAAATACTAAAAATTTTAAACTTGCTCTGCTTAAAGGCACAGACCCACAAGAGAACAATGCATTTGACATAGTCATAGAACAAACTTTTAAAACTAATAATTAGCATTAAACTTATGAGTGTATAGTTAGTTAAAAATCTGGAATATCACAAAATAGAAAACTTAGAGTTTAGGATTTTAAAATATAGAAATAAATATGAAGCAAGATGGAGGTTTTAGGGCAGAGGCAGGTTGTTCTTTTTTACCTTCTTCTTCCTTCTTCATACGTTTAAGTGATATTTTGTGATTAGACAAAAAAATCTGCATTGCGGACTTCGGGAGATCAGTTATTAAGTTAAAAAAGAAAATAATCTAAGTGTCCTTTCTTAATTAAATAGTGTTGTTTTAAAAGACCTTAAAGCAAGAGTTAGCCATTTTGTGCCTTACTAATGAAAAAGCTGCCAAACTCACAGTAGTGAGATTGTAACATAAATAAAAAATAATAAACACCTAAGTCCAAATATAAAATACCATCTCAAGTGCCTTCAATCCCAACCTCAAAAAATCAATAGCTTTCAAAGCAGTACACTTTGCCAGAGGCTCCAGGTGACATCCTGCTCCCCTGCTGCAGTGTAAAGGATATTCTGCATGGCTAGTCCTGTCAATATGGGCCCAAGAGCTGTTTCCTGTTTGATCTGCTCAGAGGCCTCCTGGTTCAAGGCCCCACTCGAAATATTTCTTCTTCTGGGTCACTTGATAAAGGGGGCAACAAGCTGACTATAACCTGGAACGTGCATTCTCCCAAACCCCACTAGGCCTAGGAAAGCTTGTTTTTCCTTCCTCTTAGCCAGTGGGGACATAGCAGCTATTTTGTTAACCACCTCCATAGTCACACGATTGCACCCATCCTGCCATTTTCTGTCCCAAGAACTCGATCTATTTGATGCAGCCTGCACCCCAGATTGCTCTTGCTTTCAAGTTCTTAAGAATGGTTGATTAGGTCTACTATAAAATGAATTATTTATTGAATAGACCCAAGATTAACAAGATATAAGATTTTAAACAGAATACTTACTAAGCTGGATAAAACAAAAATAACTATACATAGATAAAAAATACAGTGCATGACAAAAAGGTTACCAAATTGGTGATGGAGAATACATACAGAATACACATAGAATCCTTTCACTCAATTTCCAGGGAAGTAACCACAAAGTTTGCATCCAAACTTTGGGGAAAAGCCCTCCACATTTCCAGGGTGTGTGTAGGAGACTTCTGATTTTGTGAAAGTTTTGTGTGACTTTTATAGTTTGTAAAGTGAAGTGTTTGTCAGTCTTGTCAGTCTTGAAATGCTAGAAATTCCAGCTTATCTCCCTACATCTTGTTCTCAAGGCCAGATGTTTATTTTCAGCTGGGAATTCCACCTCTGGCACCAGAGATAATTCCCTACTGGACAAATGTCCAGCCTGGTTATCTCACCAAGTCATGTGAGGGGGAGAATGCCCAGAGCTGTCACAACTGCTGATAGAACAGATAAGCTCTTCTGTGGTAGGGAGGGCAGTTCTGCCACACCTCTGCAGGTCCCTTTAGCTTACTTTGTTTTGTGGCAAGACCAGCTTTCAGATGAATTTGGATTTTTTTTTTCTTGCTCAAAAATTTCTTCTGCAGTATTGCCCCACACAATGATATCATTGATGTATTGCAGGTGTTCTGAAGCTCCACCCTTTTCCTGTGCAGTCTGGATGAGTCCGTGGCAGATGGTTGGGCTGTGTTTCCATCCATGGGACACTCAATTCCAGGTATACTGGATACTCCTACAAGCAAAAGCAAACTGTGGCCTGCACTCTGTTGCCTGAGTGACTGAGAAAAATGCATCAGTGATATCAATTTTGGCACCATTTGCCTGCCTTTGACTCCTGTTAATATTGGAATTCCAACACATGCAGCACAGCAGCACTCGGAGGCAGCGTGACTTCATTCAGGCCATGACAGTCTCTATCAGCCTCTATTCCCCAGTAGACTTTTGCACTGGCTACATGGGGCTGATAGAAACATACCATCAGCTACATTTGGATGGGAATAAAATGTTGTAGCTGCCACCCATTTATAGAATCAACCATAAAAATGAAAGGTTGACAAAATACAACAAAAAACACATATTAACAAAATTATTATTTGGTGTCTCATTATATAGTTATAACATTTCATTTTCATTCCATGAAATACCTGTGAGTGGCTGAGCAAGCAATGGAGTCATTGCTATGGAAACTCCTGTTTTTTCACTATTGAAAGCTGAAATTAATGTTAGAATGGATTATAATTGTTCAGCAACTGGACTATTAATTTTCACTAATCCAGCCATTACTCATTTCTGTGAATGAGTACTAAATATTTCCTTATCTCTTTTCTTTATCTGCAACATTTTACAATCAACAGTATCCTTCTTACACAGGTATAAAAGCATCATCAGCTTTCTATTATTCCTGCATTATATTGTTGCTGGAGTACACTAATTTCTTTGGGATTTTTTACTTTTTATCTTTTTTTTCTTTAAAACTCATTGAAGAGCTCATTCTCTTAGACCATTTAAGGCTAACTAATCATTCCTGCTACCCTCTGAACCTCCTTCAGTACTTCAAACTGAAGTACTTTTTGCTGTTTGCTGTAAATACTGAACATTTGATTTCAGTCTTAGGTGATTTAGTAATCCAATCAGAAAATGTAGAACTGCTGCTGCCAAACTACTCATGCAATTCACATTTTATTATTGGCTGCTGAACAAGATGTTTCAGTCTCACACTTCAGATACTTCTCAAGTGAAAGTTCTAAAAGTTCTGCTAATATAATAATCATAGAATAACAGAATGGATAAAGCTGGAAGGGACCACAGTGGGTCATCTGGTCCAACTTCCCTGCTTAGGCAAGGTCATCCCATAGCACATGTCAAAGGATTGTATTCAGATGGTGTTACACTGTGCTCATGGGCATTCTGTTCCCCCTTCCCCGGGACCCTGTGACTCTGATCAAGATAACCCTGGACCCTCCTTCCTGCCCTGACAGGGTTGGCGGGGAGCCAAGAAGCCTTCCCTGTCTAAAGTCTTGATAAACCCCTGACATTTTCCTTCCGTCCTCTTTTGCCCCGCTCTCCCCTTGGACATCACAGAATAAAGAGAGCTGCACCATCATATATTGGGGTAAGAGCCTCTTTTGGAAATCTTTGCCATCTCCTGATATTCCTCCCCTCAAAGCCTCGGATCTCTGGGCTAGCCTGATAATTCAGGGGGCTGAGAGAGGGGGGAACATCAAGATGGTTCTTGAATATCTCCAGTAAAGGAGACTCCACAAACTCTCTGGATAAGCTGTTCCAGTGCTCAATCGCCCACACAGTAAAGAAGTTCTTCCTCATATTCAGGTGGAACTTCCTGGGCATCAGTTTCTGCCCATTGCCTCCTGTCCTATTGCTGAGCACCACTGAGCAGAGCCTGGTCCATCCTCTGACACCTCCCAGACACTGACAGACATTGATGAGGTCCCCTCTCAGTTGTCTCTTCCCAAGGCTGAACAGGCCCAGCTCTCTCCGATTACCTCTGTTGCCACCCATTGGACCTGCTCCAAAATGATGACCACCACATTTTACAGAACTTGGGCCGTGGGGTTTTGTGCATATGTGGACCAGCATGTGTACAAACTGTTGCTCCAGCAGATTTAGGAGATATTCAAGCAAAACTGGCCAGTCCACTTTGATGGGGTTGGGTGGAAGGGGTGTAAAACCAGATAATTTGGCTGCAAATTACCCATGCAGCAGTGGTTTATGTGTGCAATTCAACTTTTTCTTAATCTTACTGGGTAGTTTGATTGTCAGCCTAGATATGGTCAAAGGTCCATCTTTCATTGGCGGTAAATGAAAAATTGATGTTGGACAAAAAGGCGCCCAGATACTCTTCTGATGTCCTCACTAAAACTAAAAATTCTTGTAATTCACAACTACATTTGTGTTGCTATAGGACACGAGAAAGCACAACGTGAGCCACCTGCAAGGTAAAAGAGGAAGTTTATTTTCTGACTCCAACTTTTATACTTTTCCAAAGGTGACAATGGATTGGACAGTGAATGGGCCACCTCTCCAAAGACATTGGACAAACTACTAGTACATCAAGTTTCTCCACCCCCATGAAGGAATGTAAAACAATGTTATTTACAGAAATTGTGTGGGAAAGTTTTCCAACAGAATGTAAACTCAGAAGGCTTTAGAAAAACTTAAGAATTAGGGTGACACATTTGCTACCCATTACTTAATACATAAGGAAGCTCAAAGAGATCAACATATATATATTTATAGACTACAGCTGTTTCCTCTGCTTTGAAACTGAATTAGGAAAATAGTTGTTTTAAACAACAGCACCACAATTATGCTAAGGGCTTTATTGACTTTTATTGAGTATTACATAGCACACGGTTTATGTAATAATGTAATAAAAGAAACCTGCTTTGAAACATATCAGCTGTCTTCAAACAAACCTCAATCCCAACACTGTATTTATTCTGTTATCTGAGCTTTGTAGGGCTACTCCATATACACAGATATGTTTAAAACAATACAAATGGGGGAAAAACTTTTGAAAACCCTCAGAGAATAAAAAGTATTAATCACAGAAAGAGGAACTATAATGTCAGGCAACTTAAACTGGTTTTAAACAGTCAGGATGCTACTCATAATGTTACATTTAATATCTGTGAGCAGTGGCTCCAACCTGACTTGCTGCTTGTTTTCTTTAGACAACTAGTAAGATATAGCAACTGCACTAGTTGCCAGCATTCTGCTGAAACCATATGGCATGACAAGAACATTGGAGCCTGCATGCCCTTATGCACAGAGAAAAGAAAAATGAGATAAATAGTTGGAATTAAACTCTTCAGTAAAGAGAGGACTGTCTGTAGCTGTTGGTTAGAAGGATGATCTTTGAACTAAAGCTGCATCTGACATGAGTTAAAACCATAATAATGCATTTGAATATTTGGCTGATGAAAAAAATTAAAACTTTCCTCTCGGTTTCAGAAAATGAGGACGATTATTATCATCAGCTGTACTTAAAGGACAAAGGGCAAATATAGTTCTGTGTAGTTCTGACTGTTGTTGGCAGAAACCTTAAGAAATTGGCTTCTAATGCTAACATGTTCTGCTTTGCAGACAGTAACTCAATACACATATTTATAGAAGGCTTAATGTTCACTGTGTCTTATCACTTTCATTATGTTTGGCCCCAAGAGTTCAAAACCATAAGCTGCATTTCAGAAATTATATAAATGAATAAGAAGGACTACAGTTTACTTCTTTAAGTTGCTCAGTTGCACCTACATGTGAGTCTGTCCAATTTTCACGAATTAACATGGTTTGGATACTGCTGAAAACTGTGAGACGTGTCGACATCTCACTTCCTCAGTTTCACATTTTTAGGGATTATTTTCAAGGAACACAAGTGAAACACTGATCCTGTTTCCCCTATTGGTGAAAGTTTCAAGTAGTTTCAAAAGCATAAGAAAATAAAATGCTAGTTTTTAGCAGATGCAACATAAGCAGAACTGAAGTCACTGAAAGATATAAATTCAAATGGATTGACATGTTCTCCTTTAGAAGGAGCTACTACAACTGGAAATGGGCTTTTAGGGCTACAGGCTGGATCAATGGGCCAAGACCAATGCATGAGGTTCATCAAGGCAAAGTGCAAGGTGCTGCACTTGGGCCACAACAGCTGCATGCAGCACTGCAGGCTCGGGGAAGAGTGGCTGGAAAGATGCTGGTGGAAAAGGCCTGGGAGTGCTGGTCAACAGTGGGTGAGCATGAGCCACTGTTTGCTCAGGTGGCCAAGAAGGTCGATGGCATCTGGCCTGTATCAGCAATAGTGTGAGAGCACTGACTGTCGCCCTGTACTCAGCACCGGCGAGGCCACACCTCAGCTTCTGCGTTCGGTTGTCGTCTCCTCATGACAAAAATTGACATTTGAGATGCTGCAGTATGTCCAGAAAAGGACAACAGCGCTGGGGAAGGGGCTGGAGCACACATCTGATAAGGAGCGGCTGAGGGAGCTCGGAGTTTTTATCCTGGAGAAAGCAGGGTCAGGGGTACCTTCTTGTCCTCGACAGCTGCCTGAAAGTAGGTTGTGTCCAGGTGGTGGTCAGTCACTTTTTCCAGGCAAAAAGAAACAGAACAAAAAAAAAGGGCCTTAAGTTGCATCAGGGGAGGTTCAAGTTGGGTATCAGGGAGGCTGTCTTCACTTTAAAGGTGGTTAAGCATTGGGAAAGGGTGCCCAGGGAGGTGATGGTGTTCAACCACCGGACTTGCCACTCAGTGCCATGCTCTGCTTGACAAGGTTATAGGTTGGGTCCATTGATCTTGGAGTCTTTCCCAGTCTTAACGATTCTATGAAAGACTTCCGCTTCCCTCTGCTTGTCTGGAAAATCTGGCATCAAAGGCATCAGATTTGGAAGCTGGCAGCATTATTTCATGGAAAATAGACTAAGAGATTGTGCTGCCTTGGGCTTCACTGATTTTCACCGGGGTTTGGCATCGCGGTCTATGTAGGTGAGTTTGAACTCCGGTCTCAGGGCAGCGTCCAGCACCGCTCGCTCTCCCCTGCCCTTCCTTCAGGTCCACCGGACAGCGGAACCCCCGCCCGCCCGCGGCCCCGAGCCGCCCTCACGGCGCGGGGCGGCCACGGGACACAGGGAACGCCCCAGGAGCCGGCGAGCCCACGCCGCAAGTGCCTCTGGGAGTTGTGGTCCGCTGCGGCGGCCTCCGCCCGCCCGACCCGCGCCTGGCGGGGCGCAGCCGGCCCCATGCCCCGGGACTGTCCCTCCGTGCCGTGTCGGGGCGCTTCTTCGTCTGCCACGACCCCTCAGCGTCCTCTCTGTGTGGGAAAGATGGGCGGAAAAGGAGACGGAACGACTCCAGCTAGAACTACGGCTCCCGGCGTGCACTGCGCTACGGAGCACTCAACGGGGCTGGGGGGGGCGGGTGAAGATGGCGGCTGCTAAACCGAGCCGGAGGGGAGGCTGAGGTGAGTTTTGGGCGGCCGGACAGTGCTCCGGCCGCTCGTGTTCACCCTCGCAGTCGCCTCCTCGTCGCGATCTCTCGCGTCGTTCCCCTTCTCCACGCTGGGGAACGAGGAGG